TCCGGAGATTTTTTTCCTGTAAGTTCATGAAAAGTGTCAAACGATCAGTTGATTTACATGTGCAAACAAAAACAGAAAGCGGTGAAAGCAAAGAACATTATATTTGTTAAAAAATGGAAGTAAACAACGAAATATTTAAATATGTATAGATTTTAATAATTATTTAGTGATATTTCAGCCAAATCAGTGTAGTACCAATGACGTGTAAACAAACCGTCTGACGTTTTTACAGGAAATAGTGCTTTTTGCGTTCCTATGCACTTCTGCATCTGTTCTCCTTTTACTCTCATTTGAGAGCGTAAAATTGTAGTTTGACAGTTCCACAGGTTTTAGTCCGAAGTTCAAAGGAACAGACTAAATATTTCAACTCGGACCAGAGCAGCGAAGTTAACATCACGACCACTATGAATAACATGGCGACCCGGAACAGAGCAGAGGAGTTAACATTACGTCCACTATGAATAACATGAAGTTAACATGTCGCCACAAACACACATCGTGATCATCGTCAGAGAACTTAGATAGATAGAGAAGGTGCAAATTTTTGGAACGTAAAATTTTTTGGCTGAAAAATAAATCAATGGAATATCACCACATTGCGATTAACATTAGTTAATATTGCTTTAACGACATAAAAAAATCCAAAAACTCAAAAAGCATGTGTTCAAGTTCGCTTCTTGTACGAGTTTATAGTATATGTATATATAAATGTATATAATATACATATGTATATAGTAGGTAGTAAAAATGCATGTTAGTTGAAAAGAATTTTAAAATTGGTAAAAAAATTTATATTAATAGTTTTGACTAATTAAAAAAATATGAAAACTGTTTATATTGTATTAATTTATATGAAAATTCTTGTTCGAAGAAACATACATACATATTATGTGCCAGTGTATGCTCTCACTGCAAACCATGATTCAATAATAGAAAGGTTTTGTAATAAAAGAGTCTTCTCGCTCCCACACATAAAATCGGCTCCTTTACTTGTGCAGAATGTTGCTTACTCTAAAGTTTCTAGTGATATTAGTAGTAAAACCAAAAATTCTTCATACTAAATATTCGTTGGCGTCACCTTCGTTTGCGTAATTTTCTAGAACAAGTGTAGAATAGCGACCGTTTAGCTATAAAATAACCAAAAATGCCGATTGATAGAACTTTTTACGCTGATTTCAACGATACCAAATTTATTTGGCGCAGGTAAAAAAAGAAGATATAATAGGTTTCTTTGTATTTTTTATTATCACTAAATTGTTGAAACCCAAAAGTAGATCATGATAAAATATGTAATATCGAATTAAAGATAATAACTTGTACTTTTTAAATAATATAAAATTCTTTACCATTAACAGGTCTATTCTGCGCTGGTAATAAAAAGTTTGTAACCGGTAATTAAAGTTCCTGTCAATTTTTAAACCCTTTTCGCATTCTGTGTACTCTTGTAACCGGTAAATTTTGTTAACATAAGCAGGTAACAAATTATTGCCCCGTGAAATATGCAATGCCAGGATTTTCACAATTCTTCATAGCTGAATTGCTGAATATTTTAACTGCATTACCAACGTACCTAGAATCGCGGTGACAAGAACTGGTAACATTTTTTGGTAATTCAATTTTCCGGTTACAAAATCTTCGGTAACGTGCAGAATAGACCTGTAATTATGCAGTTTTTTCAAAAAAGGTTATTTCATGAAAAAATAATATTTGTTCGTTTTTTAGTGGTTTTGGTTTAAAAATACAAAAAGCTATAAATTATGTACATCAGCTGAAGAACAAATTAATTACCTTTATGGTGACGTTATTAGCTTTTTAATCGGTTATAAAGTTCATAAGATATTAATATTTAAAATATCTGAAAACTGAACTTTAACCTTCTAGAAGCTCTTCATTTTTTACTTGCGCCAAATCATTTTGGCATGGTTGAAATGAGCATAAAAAGTTCTATTGATCTGCATTTTTCGTTTTTGCATAGCTGAACGGTCGGTATTCGGTAGATTTGTTCCCGGAAATGACGAATTACTTAAATCAAACGCATGCGCATACGGATGTATGTATGTACTTACAAATGCGCTACATATGTAAAAATGCACATATTCCAAAATCATATATGCATTGATAACGTTCCCCTCTATGTACTTATGTGTACATACATACCTAAACGACCTTGAAAATCATTTATTGATAAAGTTCTTACACATGCACATTAGGGTGATTCAAAATTTAAACTTTTTTTGAATTTCGACTCTGAACGTTCGGATTCTTGAAAATAATAGGGAAGACAAGTTCTTTCTAAAATTTCAGCTTATTTGAACAAGATTTAGAGGTCGCTCAACGCTGTTGTTTCTTTTCCGGAAACTGCAGATTTTAAATGCATCTTTTTAAAAAACTAGGTATCTTTTCATCAAATCTTTTCGGATTTGATTGAAATTTAGTAGGTAGGTTCCCACATATCAATTTATTAGAACACAGTTTATATTAGTTTGATAAATTAGTTTTAAATACATATATAAATAAGTATTAACTAAGTTTTGCCTTATAAAAAATGAATATTTGCAATAATTTTTTTTTGTTCCTTGGCCAGTGAGCATATGCTTAATACATCTAAGATCACGTTATAATTCATACCAATAGTGGCCCTCATCATTAAATATTACTAATCATCAAATAAAAAAATCACCAGATAAACATCACGCATACGCCATGTTGAATCCAAGTGCGAGAAAAAAAGATGTTATTAAACACTTGCATCGTGTGTAATAGTTTTATGTCATTATTACATCTGAAATAAACACAAGGGCTTGCAAAATTCATCGAAATCATTGTTTGCTTTTTGGGTATTAGTGGTATGATAGAAAAATTAATTGATTAACTCCCAACACTGCCTCCGTGTGTATTTCTGCCTTAAAAAAGCTTCTCACAAAAGCCATTTCTGTTCGGAGGCGGCGTAAAGCTGTAGGTCCGCGGCGTTTTTGTCACAACACCAAGACCCACACCAAAAATTGAAGGAGAAGCTCAGCCACACACTTGGCAAAGGTGCGTGCGCCAAAATACTGTTATTATACTATTAATATTTGCAATGACTAGGAAAACACTTGGATTCAACATGGCGTATGCGAGATGTTTATCTGGTGATTTTTTTTTATTTGACGATTAGTAATATTAAATGATGAGGTCCACTATTGGTATGAATTATGATGTGATCTTAGATGTATAAAGCATATGCTCACTGGCTAAGGAACAAAAAAAAATTATTGCAAATATTCATTTTTTATTAGGCAAAACTTAGTTAATAACTAATTAATATATGTATTTAAAACTAATTTTCAAACTAATATAAACTGTGCTCTAATAAACTGATATTTGGGAACCTACCTAGAAATTTCAACGAAATCCGACAAGATTTGATGAAAATATACATATTTTTTTAAAAAGATGCATTTAAATTGTTCAGTTTCCGGAAGACAAACAACAGCGTCGAGCGAAATCTAAATCTTGTTCAAATAAGCTGAAATTATAGAAAGAACTTGTCTTCCCTATTATTTTCAAGAATCCGAACGTTCCCAGTCGAAATTCAAAAAAGTTTAAATTTTGAATCACCCTAATACACATACTATAACATACATATAATAACTTCCTTCTTATTTGAGGTTCACAAAGTATAACTTCAGAGTCGTCTTTATTTCGTCTACGAATATGCTCCAATAGTTTTGCAGTCAAATGAAAATGCATTTCCGACGCATATGTATGTAAATACATACTCCATTAATTGATAACAGCAAGTAATTTTTAGCAAAAAAAACCGACTTAAAAAAATATATATATATCTATATATTTCATGATTCAATGATCGGATCTAAACCAGAAGTCGGTTAAAAATACATACATGCATACATGCATATATAGATAAGTATGTACATACAATATGCATATTTCTGCCAAATACTACGCTCATGCATACATATGTACAACTCCGCATACATACATAATCACGCACATATTCAAGTACAACAAGAACTATTTCATTCATAAATGCATGCGCGTATTTCCCAAGGCCAAATAAATTCATTCATAACAACCGCAGCACATCTCCCCGCAAATTCATCACCTACAAGCGCAACTTTTTCAGTCCGACACAAAAATTCTAAAATCTAAAATTTAAGAAATCTCGGCGAGCCAAGTGAAACGTGGCAACTATTTCCCTATATCCAGAAAAATAAGTTATCTCGAATTTTGGTAATTTTTGGCAAAACAATCTATTTCTCTGTTCCACAACAATATTTCAGTCATTAACTAGTATTTTAAGGTGTAATTTTAATTAACATTGAATAAAGTGAACGTTTTCTGCAGGAAAATACATTATATTTTTTTTAATAAAATCAAAACTCCTAAATTCACAAACATATGTGGTTTTATCAAAAGTTCACAAATGTAACGTGGCAACTTTGCTCGTTTGCACATTTTTCGGTCCGAAATTGTAAAATTTTTGTCCATGACGCGCCACGATTTTTGTACAGGTGGGTCAATGTGCCTTGGACACCATTTGTATAATGCAAAAAAATTATTCTATTTATTTTTGAATATTAAAAATTTCTAAACATCAAAGCGTTTATAAAAATATATTTACATATGTATATCCACGGATGATTTTTAATTTTTTTCACCCGTAAGCAAATCTTCAGTACCATAAAAAGATTCAACCACATCAAAGTACATATGCTATGTCCAAGCTAGTGCTAGTCCACTGTATATGTCCATATGTATGTCTGCATGTATGCGTGTAAATATGTCAACTCAAATTTGATTTTAACCCATTTTAGCGGACATAGTTTTTTTCATTCCAGCTGTTAATATAACATGAATTTTTTAATGATTTATTTTGGAACGAATTTCCGTCATCCCTTGTCAAGTTTGGTTTGCAGACAAACCGGTTTCGGCGTTGTGCCATCTTCAGTGTCATTTTTCGTTCTATCTGGTTCGAGATTTGTCCCTAATTTATGTTCATTTATCTTAGGTAATGTGATATTCGTCGATGATTAATTACTAGATGTGCCATGGTGCCCATTTTTTTGAAACAGGTAATAGGTTCATCTTCGCTGTTTCGATATTGACATTTATTATGTTGTAGCTGTATGGTTTTTGCCTGCAGGTAGGTAAAAGTCAGTGATTTTTGCCCTGGTGGTGCTTTTTGGTGTGTTCGGAGTGTCCATGCCTGTTGTTTTGTTGTCATTTTTCTTTTTTTCGTAAATCAATTTTAAGGGTTCGAATATAACATCCGATGCGGTATTTGTTTGTTCGTTTATTATTTTGCCGTCGAAGGTTTTTAGTTTGTATATTTCCATATTTTCTAGGACGTTTAGTCGTTGGCCTTTATGTTGTACATGCAGTAGTTTCGCTGCCTTTCTTATTTGCGTTGGTGAACATTTGTTGTTAAACATGTGGTTAGCAAAATTTGACTCTGGTATTGCGCTCGGTTTCTGTGTCTTTTTGTTATAGTCTCTTATATGCTCGCGGAATCTTGTTTTTATTTTACGTCCTGTTTGACCTATGTAACTATGCTGGCATTTGCAAGTTAGTTTATAGACTCCTTGTTTATCCAATGGATCTTCTTGATTTGTGGTGTTCCGTAGTATCCGTCCCACGTTGTTATTTGTTCTGAATGATGTGCGAAGGTTGTGTTTCTGGAACAGCTTTGCAAGTTTGTACGTTGACTTTCCAGTATAGGTTAATACCGCCCAATTTTTGTTATTGTTTTCTTCTTTGTTTGGCTTTTTGTTTTTGTGCTCCCTTCGGATTTCTTCTACCAGATCTCTTTTGTATCCGTTATTAGCCGCTATGGCATATATTGCGTTCAGTTCTTTGTTGTATCCTTCTTTTGTTAGTGGTATTCGCTCAATTCTATTGATCATCTGTCTAAAAGCGGCTTTTTTATGCTGATGAGGATGGTTCGATGTATTATGTATTGTGGTATCTGTGGCTGTGGGCTTCCTAAATGGAGCTTTTTGATCAAATGAAAACGCGCATAAGGAAAGCCATGAAAGAAAAGTACAAGAAATTGAAAGGAAAACTAGAAAAGTTACAAACGAGTCAAGAAGGAGTGAACAAAAAACAGAGAGAGAAACCCGAATTCCATGCCAGGTTCGTAAACCTTACAGAAGTTCTCATCAACAAAGAAGAATCGCGAGTTTTGGAAAAAGGGCTCAAACATAATATCCAGAATTACAATAAGGAAAAGGAAATTGAGCAGACAATTGTAGATGCGGAAATAGCTATATCTATGCTGCCGAAAGAGGAACAGGAACACACTAGACACAGGTGCAAACAGTTAATTGAAAAGGAAATCAAAGCCAAAGGAAACAAAAACCACAGCAAAGAAAGCAATATAATTAAAGGTCTGAAGCAGAAACTAAAAAACAACAACGTAATCACGACCAAAGCTGACAAAGGAAACACAACTGTACTAATGAATAGAGATGAATACATACAAAAAACGGAACAGCTTATCAAAGAAACTAGATGTAAGAAGTTAGCAAAGGATCCCACTGAGGAATACCAGGCCACAATAAAAGAGACCATAAAGAAAGCTACAAAAATAATAAAGCCGAACCAAATACATACATTGACAATCATGAATCCATCAGCTCCTCCAATGAATGCACTACCTAAAATACACAAACTAGGCACACACATGAGACCAATCATAAACCACAGATCGGCCCCAAGCTATAAACTATCAAAACACTTAAAAACTATACTAAAGGACAACCTTGGATTGCCCAATAAGTACACAATATCTAATACAACGGAATTGATTGAAAAAATAAAAGACTCAGCGATCACGATGGATACTAAACTGGTATCATTCGACATAAAAGATCTATACCCATCGATACCAATAACGGAAACAATAGATATCGTATTCAAAATACTGATTGAAAAAACAGGAAACANAGAAAAAACAAAAGACTCAGCGATCACGATGGATACTAAACTGGTATCATTCGACATAAAAGATCTATACCCATCGATACCAATAACGGAAACAATAGTTATCGTATTCAAAAAACTGATTGAAAAAACAGGAAACAGAGAAATCGCCGTAGAGATAACTAATACACTCAGAACGACGTTGCATCAAAATTACTTCAAATTTAACAACAACATATACATGCAAACAAACGGGCTAGGCATGGGCAACCCCACATCGGCGATCCTTATGGAGGTATTCATGCAGAATTTGGAAGAAAGGTACGTGGAGTATCTTACATCACAACTAGGAGCGACGTTCTACGCCAGATNTTTAGCTCCAACCATTTGCCGGATTTCACGCAAAGGAACACTAATAAAGAAGCAGCGATTATAACAAAAGCTATCAGAAATGCAGCAAATGTAGCTATACCAACAACCATGGTGGACCCCTGCTTTAAGTGATCTCCGTAAAGAAAAAGTTAAAGCGTGGAGGGAATATCAACAATTACGAAGTATCGAGGCTTTAATTAACTTCAAAAAAAAGAGTGCCCTATTCAATAGAGAAAAGAAATCGGCCAAACGTAAGAGCTTCGAAAATTTCACGAAGGGAATTAACCCGAACTCCTCAACAGCAACTATCTGGAAAAGAATAAAAACTCTCACAGGTACATATAACCCCACAAGCATTCCATCCATAAATATTAATAATTCAAACATAACTAATAGAAGCGACATATCTTTTGAATTCGCCCAACATTTTTCAAAATCTTCTGAAAGCTCTAATTTCCCACCGCAATTCATTGTTTCTGCCCGAAATGTGACCACCATGCGAGTAAACGATAATACCGATAATCTAGCTAAACATCTCGAGAGCGATATCAATTACAGAGAACTGGAGTATGCTCTAAAATCGGTGAAAGGTACCACTCCGGGATTTGACAAAATTAATTACGAAATGCTAAAAGAAACACCGACACCCATAAAGCTAAGACTACTCCAGCTCTACAATTCCATTTTAGACTCCGGTGTGATTCCACAAAGTTTTAAGACAGCCACAATCATCCCAATACTCAAACCGCATAAAGAACCAAACGACTTAGAAAACTATAGGCCTATCTCACTAATTCCGTGCATGAGCAAAATCATGGAAAAAATAATCGCTACAAGGTTGATGTGGTACTTAAATACTAAAAAGCTTCTATCTCCGTTTCAAGTAGGATTTCAGTCCGGGACGAGCACCTTGGATGCCCTTCTTTTTCTTGATCACCACATATGTAAAAATCTTTCAAAAAAAAATCACATTTCTATCCTTTCCGTAGATTTTGCCAAAGCATTTGACAATATTGGTGGTCACGTGGTCTTGCAAAAACTACAGGAGTGGCGAATCGGCCCTAAAATTTTTGAATATGTGAAATCATTTCTGACAAATAGATAATTTCGTTGCAAAACAAATGATACCTTTTCCAAAACATTTCCCCTCCACAATGGCATTCCCCAAGGCTCCCCATTGTCGGTCACACTTTTCTTGGTGGCATTCGACGATATAAGCAGACTCATGAGTAAACAGCCTAACATCAATCACTGCTTATATGCCGACGACCTTTACCTCATTTGCACCCAAACAAAAACCTCAGATATTGAGGAGTCTTTCAATAACGCCTTAAATGCCATAAACAACTGGTCACAACAATCGGGTGCCCTAATTTCCCCGAAGAAATGCAAACACTTGCATATTTGCAAAAAACAAAATTGCAAGGAAATACATGTCAAAAATGACAACTATACTATATCCAACGATAATAATATGAAAATTTTAGGTATAACATTTGATTCTAAGTATAACTTTAAGTATCACTGTTATAATATAAGGAACGCACTAGCTACCAGGTTGAATATTACAAAGTATCTATCCTCAAAAAAAAGTTTTGTACATACTAACACCGTAATCGATATTACCAAATTAACAATTCTGAGAAAAATTGACTATGGATTACAAATCTACGGGACCACCTCCAAAACTCACCTCAAGATGATTAAAGGCCCTTATCATTCTG